CCCCCCCGCCACCTCTCCGCGACTCGCGCCACTCCGCGCCTCCCGCCGCTACTCACCTCGGAATCTGCACCTTCCACGACACGACCAAGTCGCCGCGCTCGCCCTTGCGCCCATACAACGACTTTACGCCGCGGCCCTTGAGTACGGCCTCTTCTGCATTCTGCGTGCCCTCGCGGACGCGCACGTCGACCTCGCCCTCGAGGGTGGGGATGCGCACGCGGCCGCCGAGCAGCGCCGTCTGGAGGGGCACCTTTGCGTCGTGGTAGATGTTTGTGCCCTGGCGCCGGAACACGGTGCTGGGCTTGACGCTGACGCGGACGTAGAGGTCGCCGGCAGGCCCTTGGGCCGAGAGCGGCGCGTCGCCCGCGCCGGGAATCTTGATCTTCATCCCGTCCTCGATACCGGCGGGGATGTCGACTTCGACCTCGCGGCGCTCCTTGACGCGCCCGACGCCCTCGCACTCCCCACAACGTGCGGACCGGGGGATCGTCGACCCCGTTCCATTACACGCGGGGCAGGTAGACGCCATAAACATGCCCTGTACTTGGAACGCCTGCTGCCCCGTACCGCGGCAGGTGGGGCAGCTCTGCTTCTTCTCGCCCGGCTTGAGCCCGGAGCCGTGGCACGGCGCGCAGTCCACCACGGGCGTGATGGTGAGCGTGCGCTTGGTGCCCTGGCACGCGTCGGCGAACGACACGGTCATGTTGGTCTCGAGGTCGTCGCCGCGCACGTGGCGCGCGCGCGCGCCGCCGCCGCCGAACGGGCTCCCGCCCGCAAACTGCCCGCCGCCGAACGCGCCCCCAAACAGCTGCTCGAACAGGTCGCCTGCGTTCCCCGGCCGCCCGAACCCAAAGTCCTGGAACCCGCCGAACCCGCCGCCGCCGCGCCCAAACATGTCCGGGTCAAAGCCCTCCTGCGTGCTCGCGCTCCCGTACTGGTCGTACGCGGCCCGCTTCTTCTCGTCCGATAGAATGTCGTATGCTCCCTGTATGTCGTGGAACTTTTCCGCCGCATTCGCCTCCTTGCTCGTGTCCGGGTGCCACTTCTTCGCGAGCTGCCGTCAGATGTGTCGGCTGTCGGCCAGCGAGCTTACCCCGTAATACGCCTTTTTGATGTCTGCGGCCGACGCGTCTTTCGCGACGCCGAGCACGTCGTACGGGTTCTTGTGTGCCGCCGCGCGCGGCGCGGAGGCGTGGAACGCCCGCGCCCCCGCCGCTGGCGGGCGGCACGCCACGCGCTTCGGCGTGTGCAGTGCGCGCCGCGGACGCAGCGGGAGCGCGGACGTGCTCGCGGCCGGCTGTGCCAGCGCCGCTAGCGCTCGTGTAGGTAGTCTTGGTGGCATGGTAGTGTAGTGATGGTGGGAGGCGATGGCAGAAGAGTAGTTTAACAAAGTTGGAGCGGGAAACGGTCGACGGTTCTCGAACGCCGTGGTGACCGAGGTGGCAAAGTACGGCGTTACGTAATCGCCCCGCGCCAATGAGCTCGGCGCCATTGCGGATTCTATGCTGCATGCATGTCTAGCCTAGTCTAGCGCCTACGTGAGAGCGCGCTCGCGCGCCTCGAGGATCGACTGCTGCAGCCCCTTCAGAAGGGTGTACATGAACTCTGTGCGGGGTGCGTCAAAGCCGTGCTTGTGCGCGAGACGCACGACGGCGCCCACGACGACCTCGACTTCGAATGGCCGCCCATTCTCCACGTCGAGTAGCATCGACCACTTGTGCGCGGAGCCGTTGACGACGAACTGGGGTTAGGGGCGGAGCTGGCGCCACAGCTGATCTTACCCGGTCAAAGTCCATCTTCACGATGTCGTCGATGCTCCCCACCGCCTGCCCGGACGGCTGCACGACCATGCCCTCGTACAGCAGCCCGGTCTTGAACCCAAGCTCAACAACCTCGCGGTAAAACTTCTTGATCTGCACGTGGTGTTCATCCCCCAATGGCCGGAAACATGTCTGGTAGGTGCGCACGAGGCTCTGCACGCCGGCCTGAGTGCACGTCCAGACATTCTGGCATCAGCCAAAGGCGCTCTCTTCCTCTCCCCTCCTCGCCCATTTTACCCCTCCCACTTCTCCCCCTCTCCCGCTTACACACCTTGGCGTACCGCGTGCTGCGGATATCCTCCGCCACGACCGTATTACCCCCTCCAGCCTTGACGAGCTCAAGCCAAAGCTCTAGTGCTTTCTGCTCGCCCGCATCCGGCCTCTCCCCGTCCTCGCGATATACCCCCGCACCAAGCTTCTCCACCCCGGCCCACTTGACGACGGCGCCGTCGGAGGATGCCATGACGCTGATCCACGCGACGCACGACACGACGGGCGTGCGCGTCGCGCGCGCGAGCTCGACCTCGACATCCAACCCGTTCTGAATGAGCACGTACGCGCCGACCTTGCCGCTGCGCAGCGCGTCCGCCAGCAGGTCCGTGGTCGGGAGCACGTCCGGCAGGCTCTTGGTGCACACAACGCAGAGCGCGTACTCGCGGTCCAAGGCTTCCGCCTGCGACTTGCAGACTGCGTCAGCAGCGTGCGCGGGGCCACGTACCCCGCGACGGGCGGTATCCGGGGACGATGCCGAAGCGGCCTGTCTCGAGACGCACGCCCGACGACGTGTACAGGTCGTAGTTTGAGCGCGCGACGGCGGTGACGCGCGCGCGCCCGCTCTGACGTCAGATGCGCCGCGCATCGGCTTACGCGCTCGAGGAGGTACGAGTAGACGGTGCCGATAGCGCCGAGGCCGATGAGGAGGACGTCGACGGGCGGAGACATGGCGGGCGATGGATCAATGTCCGGGACGCGAGGCGTGGGCGGAATGGGGTGGGCGGCTGTCGGAGACAACTGGTCATCTCGGCTAATATATTTCGTCATTTGGATCTGGCTGGATCTGGGATTAACAATTTGGTAGCCGTGGCTAATCGGGAGAGACGGCGGATTCTGGGGCCCAGGCTCTGGGTGGCTGTGATGAGGACGCCGCTGAGCATGCCGCACCCCGATCACCACAGCAGTTTTCGTGCATCCGTTGTTTGGTGCGAGGGTGGCGACGCGTTAGTAAGAGATGCCAGAGGCAAGCATGAAATGAGACCAGAGATTGAACGTGATGGGAGGATATGTGTGTGTGGTGGGAAAGACAAGGGAGATGACGGGAGGAGTAGATGGTGGAGTGGATTAAGGAACACTCGACTCGTCAACCCCGGCAGTCCGCCAGCATCAAACAGCGAGCGCCATCAACGGCGTATTGACAACACCCATCATCCCATCTCGTCCATCTCCTCAATCGATCTCTTATCTCACAACAGCGATCCACATCCCTACAGGCGGCGTGAGCCGCTCATTCCGACCGCCAGGACATACACCATGTCCATGTTCCCCCAGCGCCAGGACAGTGTGTCCTCGTCCCACTCGCGCGCCTCGGCCCCCGTCTCGAGGCAGCATCACTCTCCCCCCGATCCGTCTGTGCATGGCGTGCACAAGCATTCGCCCTTCGACGCCCGCCCCTCCCTCTCTCCCACCACCCCCGCCGCGCACACCCTCGCGAGCCTCTCACGCGGCCAGCCTTACTATCAGCATCCGCATCCGCACCCGCACCCGCACCCGCATTCACACCAGCAGCAGCACAACCCGCACCCGCACCCGCAGCACAACCCATACCCGCCTCTACCGCCGGGCGCGGCCTCTGGCACGAGCAGCAGAGAGCGCAGCGAGACCGGCCGCCCGACCAGCGCCGTGCTCGCCGCCCTCGCGTCCTCAGACCTCGAGTATCCGGGTATAATGCCCCCGCGCGAGGTGGACGGCAAGCCACTACAGCCGCGGCCGTACGACGCGTGGGAGCGCGACCGCGATCTCGGATACGGGCCGCCGCCGCCGCCGCCGCCGCCACCGCCGCCGCAGCAGCAGAAGCGCGACTCCCTACCCCCGGTCGCCGCCAAGGCCGAGGACTTGCCGCCGAAGAAGCGGCGCAGGAAAGGCGGCGCGGGAAACACTGACATCCCCGACGACGCCGAGGTCGAGTACGCCGACCCGGACGGCGACACGACCCGCGGTCCCGTGTTTGTGCATCCCCCGAAGGGCGCCGTGCAGGCGTGCGTGCGCTGCCACAGGATCAAGCGCAAGTGCGACGGCGCGTTCCCACGCTGTGCGAGCTGCACGCGCGCCGACGTGCCCTGCGTGTTTGAGCTGAGCGCGGCGACGTCAACGTAAGAAGTATTATTTGCAGGGTGCTGACCGCAGATACGTCCATACGCTAAAAGACACGAACGCGAGCCTCACGAGCGAAGTAGAAGCAGCGAACGCGCGCATCCGCGCTCTGGAAGAACAGATCGCACGCAGCGGCGCACCCGTCCCGGCTCCCCTTCCGCCGACGAGTGTAGGAGACCTTGTCGGCGCGTCAAACTCAGGCGAATTTGCCCGCATGGCCGTCAGCGCGTTGAGTATGCGTGAGCACGCCGCGCTTGGAATGGAGGGCCGACGCGCCCCGAGCCGCGTCCGTTCCCTCTCCCCTCCTGCGGAGCCCATCACAGAGCTACTTACACACGAAGGAGCGCACAAGGCCGCAAAGATGTACTTTGACTTTAATGCGCTGTCGTATCCACTGCTCGACAAGGCTGAGACGCTCGCAACAATCGACGAGATGTACGGCGCTGAGCCGCAGCAACCCCGGCCGCCGAAGCGCCGCACGACCAGCTCGTCAACGAACAGCGACGCGAGCGAAGACGCCGAGCGGCGCCAGTTCCTCGCTGGCATGGTGTTGGCTATCGGGAGTCACAACAGTGCGCGGGCGGGCGAGAACGACGCGCAGGGCGCGCTGGCCGAGAAGATATACCGCTCCGCACTGCGAAATCGGGCACGCGCACTCGAGCGAGAAAACATGCTCTGCGTCCAGGCGCTCTGCCTCCTCGCGCTGTGGACGATGAGCAACCCCGCCGCAGGGAGTATATGGCAGCTCGTGGGCCTCGCCGCCCGCGTCATCACTGCCATCGGATTGCATCGCCGCGCCGAGCCCAACGTCAACCCGCATGCGGCTGAGTGCCGGCGCCGGCTGTTCTACGCGTTCTACAACATCGACCGCATCCTCGCCCCCACACTATGTAAACCCCTCGCTATCTCCGAAGAGGACATCGACATCGAGTTGCCGACCCAGCGGCCTGAAGACGGCACGTTCCGCGGCCACCCGCTCATGAACCTCACCCGCCATGTAGTACGATACCGCGGGCTGATGGGGCGCATCCTCACCGAACTTTACTCTGTCAACGGGGCGAACAACCACAAGCCCGAACCCGAGCGCATCGGTATCGTGCACCGCCTCCACGCCGAGCTCGACGCATGGATCGTCGACTGCCCCCCGCCAATGGACACACAAGGGCAGAATACACCCAAGGCAAACTACAGCTCGTGGTGGCAGATCCACTACAACCACGGGTTGTGTACGCTCTACCGCCCGTCTCCTCTGTATCCGGACACGACGCCTGAGACGCTGCGGGCGCTGTACGACGCGAGCTCGCGCTGCGTCGACCTCTACCTCGACATGTACGCGGTGAACAAGACGAGTTTCCACTTGCTGCAGATCATTGCACTCTTCGTGTCGTGCATCTCCCTCCTGTGCTGCCTGTGCGAGTGCGACGCGCGCATGCGCGCGGCCGAGACGTCGCCCGAGACGGCCGCGACGCTCGCCGAGCTCGGCTTGGGCCGCTACACGGGCGCGGACGACCCGGCGTGGGCGGCCGAGATCCGTGGGCGCGTGTCGCAGTGCCAGAGCCTGTTCGACGCCTTCGGGCACCACCTCCCCGCCTCGGCAAAGTACCGCGACACGTTCTTCCGCATCTCCGAGCTGCTGCTGGCGCGCTACGGGCCGTTGGAGAAGGCGGACGCCGGTGCGCAAGGCAACGGGCACGAACACGGGCCTGGGGCGGCGGATCCGCCCGCGTACGCGCCCGTCATGGACGTGACGCCGACAGGGCTGGTTCCCCAGGTCGCGCCGGGCGAGAAGGCGCCGCCGATGCCCGGCGCCGACGACATGGCGGGGGCGTGGGACGCGATGACGCAGCTCTGGTTCGATCTCGGCGACATGTTCGGGGACGAGAGCGATCCGTTCGCGACAATCGACAACTGGGCCGGCGAGTGGGGCGGCACCCTCGTCGGCGACGGCGTGCCGGGGCACGACGAGATCGGCTGGAACCGGCTGCGGTAGTTGTATTGTACACTATGCATTGTCTAAGCAGGCATGAACTCTGCGCTATCGTTCCCTGTCGCTTTGAGGCGCGCGACCCACAGCGCCAGCACTTGGGCCGGCGCGAGCGTCGGATGCCGCACACTCGCGACTTCGTAGCACATGGTGCTCCCGAACGCGCCGGTCGCGACGTCGACGCGCACGACGACCCGCGACGGATGCACCTCTTCCACCCGGCTCCGCAGGCAGATCTTCGTCACCCACTCCCCGGCGAGCACGCGGTACAGCTCGGCGTGGCCCGCGTGCGGCGGCACGCCGGCCCACGCGAGCTCGTCGCGCCCGAACGCGTTCCCGTCGATCCCGTACACCGCGTCCGCGAAGTACACGGCGCCGAGGTCGACAAAGTACAGCCAGATTGTGTCGGGCTGGGTGTGGGCGCACGCGACGTGTGCGCGCGCCGCCGCCACGCAGGGCGGGAGGAGGGCCTGCAGCGCCGCGGGCCAGTCCGCGGGGTCGGGGGCGGGTGCGGGCGTGTGTGCGAGGACCGGGGCGGGCGGGGGTGGAGCGGGCGAGGGGTATTGGGGCGCGGGGAGGGAGTGGGCGTGGGAGGGCGAGTGCGTGTGGGTGGAGAACGAGAGAGGGGAGTGCGCGGCGGCGGCGCTGGATGGCGGCGAGGATGGGCCGGGTGCATACGCCCCGGGAGGCGAGAACGGCGGCGAAGAGTGTCCGACGACGGGCGGCGAGGCCTGGAACGGCGCGTAGCTCGCCGGCGGCGAGCTGTAGCCTGTCGTATACGACGGCTGGGCTTGGCCTTGCGGCGCCTGGAACTGGGCTTGCGGCGGCGATTGGGGATATGCTTGCGGCGGAGGCCAGGTGTTCTGGTGTGCCGGTGGGGGCGCTGGGCCGGCCACCGGCGCTGGCGGCGATACCGCGCCGGCCATTGGCACCGCCGAAGCCGGAGCATAGCCTTGGTACACCGGCGGGGGGTACGAGTGCGACGGCACAGGGTACCCGTGCGGGGGGTACGGCGCCGGGTCCCGCGGGTCCGTCAGCAGCTGCAGCTGCTTGCCGATCTTGTTCAGCTCGTTGATGATCCGCATGCGAGTGAGTGACGATGAGAAACGACGATGAGCAAAGTAGGCGGAAGCATGTTAAAGCTCGTGCCTGGCCCTGAGCCCTGGCGGCGGTGGCAACCGCCACCGCAACGCCGGCTCGTGCTCCTGGGAGCGATGTCGGGTTTGTCGTGAGGCTGTGATAATTACCAGCGAGTGGGCGATCGAGAGATTGGGAGATGTGGAGATCGAGAAATCGAGAGACCGCGACAGACGAAGATGTGGCAGCTCACGCGATCGCAGGATGCACGGCACAAACAAGCAGATCGCCACATCCAGATCGGGAGAGCACAAATCGGTGTATGCATGATGCGAAACAAACTATACGACTATACAGTGAATCGTGAACCGGCCAACACTAGTTCGTGAATGCCGTGATGATCGATGTCCCGCTGGACACGACGCCCATCGTGTCGTTCAGCTTGGACAGCTTGCTGTCCTTCTGCGGCTTGCCGCCGCCGCCTCCGCCCCCGCCTCCGCCCCCGCCCCCACCCCCGCCGCCTGGGGCGTTGGGGGTGTTGGCGTACACGGGGATCGCGCCGGGCGGGATCGCCTGTCCCGGCGCCGCGGCCTGGTACACGTACCCCGGCTGGCCGGCCGGCTGCTGCTGCTGCTGCGGGGGCGGCGCATAATACGACTGCGGCTCAGCGAAGACCATGGCGGCCGGCGGCGTGACGAGGGGCGGCGAGATCGGCGGCGACGACATGCTCGACTGCGGCGACCCCGCGTACGGCCGGTACCATGGCTGGCCGGGGTCGCCGGCGTGCGGCTTGTACTGGGGCTGGGCGGGGGCGCCCGCCTCGGGCGAGTACGGCGGGGGCGGGGGGAACGTCGCTTGCGTCGGCGACTCTTGGAATGGCGGGTAGTGTGCGGGTGGGGGGAAGGGCTGCGCCTGCTGCGCGTTGAAGTGCTGGGTGGGCGGGGCGAACGAGCCGCCCGATGGCCCGAACTGCCCCGGCGGCGGGTACGACGTGTGGTGCGCTGGCGGGAGGCCCGGGCTAGGCTGGGGCGGCATGGGCCCTGTGTGCTGCTGTCCCATCGGGCCCAGTGGGCCTATCTGGGGAGAGGGCTGCATCGAGCCTGTGTGCTGGTGTCCCATATGTCCCGGCTGCGGGCCCATGTGTGGTGGGATGTGCTGCGCGGGCGGCGAGTTGTGCGCTAGTGGCGGCGAAGTGTGGACGGGCGGAGAGTGTGTTGGGTGCGACGGCGGCTGGTACAGTCCAAAGCCATCCTGCATGCCTTGGGAGAAGCTTGCGCTGTGGCTGTGGCTGTGCGTTGGCTGGGCCGGCTGCTGGGTGGGGGGTGGGAAGCTCTGTTGGTTCCCTTGGCTCGGAGGGAACTGGTTCTGGTTCGGCGGCGGCGGCGAGAACTGGTTCGGGGGAGAGGAGAATGCCTGTGGCGGCGAGGCGTGGTTCGGGGGAGGTGAGTTGAACTGGTTTGGCGGCTGGTTGAACTGGTTCGGAGGCGGCGAGTTGAACTGGGTTGGCTGGGTCTGAGGAGGAGGCGCGTTGAACTGGTTCTGCTGGAACTGGTTCGGAGGTGCGTTGAATTGATTTGGCGCGTTGAATCCTCCCTGCTGCTGCTGCTGCTGCTGCTGTTGTTGTTCGTACCCGTACGCGCCCTGGTTGTACGCGTTCGGATGCGTTGGTACGGGTGGGCCATAGTTGCTCGGCGCGGGTGCGTGAATTGTGTGCCCCGGGCGTGGTGGCAGCACGGGCGCGGCGCCGTACTGCTGGTGCGGTGGCTGGTACGGCGGCTTGGGCGAGGTTGAGGTGGGGCGCGCGTTGCTGGCGGTGATGAACGAGCCAATGTTCTTGCCGTACTTGGTCTTGGCGAGCTCCTTCGCACCCGTCGAAAGCAGGCGGCCGGTCGAGTTCGCGAGGCCGGACAGGCCGGGTGTGTTGAGCCCACGGTCCTTGGAGGCGCGGCGGTCGGTCATGGTGAGAGGGAGGAACGATGGGGATAGGGGTCAGAAGACTGGTGGTATTTGTAGCAGGGCCAAGCTTGGCTCGAGCGCGGGCGATGCGGTGACCGCGTGAGGAGCGGCTCGAGATCAAGCTCCCATGACTGCCAGCTGCTTTGCATCAAGTGCATGTATGGGTGCCGGGCATTAGGGATGGCCGTTGTGGAGAGGGGAAGCGAACAGCCTTGGCCGGAGGCGGTGGGCGGGATGGCTCTGTGCAGGGGAATGCTGTTCGCTTCCCACTCTCCAGCCCACACTCAAATCGCCATTGGCGTTCTTGGCGCGATTTCTAATTAGCTTTTCCCCTCCAGCTGCCCAGAGATCGAGAACCCAGAAAACCCGGAAAGCTGTCCAGTTTAACACTGATACTCCTGCATCTCGTCTTTTCAGGGTAAAACTCGGCAGCTGGCCAGCCAGATTGCTCGTTAGTTAGATCTCGAGGGGCCACTTCCGCTCATTTGATTATCGGGTGCTTCTGTGTCTGGAGTGAGGCAACAATGAGTGTGTCAGAAGTTTGTTTCGACGGTATTGGTAACCGAAATGATATAGGGCCCGGTGTGTCTTGGTATTTATGTGGTTCTCGATTTCAACAGTTCCCCGTTGTGGTCATCAAAGCGAAGCTCTCAAGAGCGCTGCCATCGCTTGTGAGCCTCGGTGCGTTCTCCATCTTCACATACGGTCAAGACAAGGCAAGCATTGTTTGGGTGCAGTGGCAGTCAACACGGGATGCTTGCTGATTATTTCATCCGCCATTGCACGTACACCGAAGTCTGTTGTTCCTCTCTGATCAGCGTAACAGAAATCCGACCGCACCATGACAACAACCCCCGGCCCACGCGCTGCTATACATGTACATCCCCTGCTCTAAACAATCGACTCGAGCTCGTGCGCCAGCTGCAGCGCGGGCCGGATCATGCTCTGCATGGGCACCCCGCGCTTGATGCCCTTTCCGCCTGCAATGTCCAATGCAATACGCGACGAGTCGTGCGCCGCAACCGCCGCAAGCGCAATGTCGGGAATCGGCGACTTGGGGAATGTCAACGTCTGTGTAGAGGGCTCCAGGCTCCACCCGCGCTGGCGTCAATGTTGTTCGCCTATGAAGGAGCAAAGGGAAGACAAAACACAGGCGCCCCCTCACTTCCCACATGAACTCACCTCAGACGCATACTGGACAAGGGCCGACGTCTCGCCGTCCTTGAAAAACAGGAGCTGCGCGGCGTTGGAGAGGGGCAACGAGGGGTATGATGTCTCAATGGTAAGAGCAATCTGCTCGCGGATAGTGCCCATGAGGCGATCGAGAAGCACGGCGTACTCCTCACGCGGGACGCGCTCACGTGCGCGGTAGATCTTGTTGTACGCGCCCTCCATCATCCAGCGTTCCAGGTCGACGGGCCAGCGCACGAACACGTCGCCAAGGTCTGCGACGTCCAGAGCCTCGAGTGTCATGTGGAACTGCGAGTACTTGCCCTCGCTGAGCATGGCGAGGAGCTCGAGACCGATGATGATGGGGCGATTGGGGGAAGGTGAAAGCGTGCTGGAGAGATTGGCATAGAATGGTTGCAGGGCGGCATTGTACTGCGCGTACGCAGCCAGGTTACCGCGCCGAAGAGCATTAAATGCGGCAATCTCGAGGATGGAGCCTGGCGTGAGCAAGCTGTAGGCTATGGGCGCAGGGGGTTAAGCTCACGAGCTGCAAGAAGATCCTGGGGGTTGGCATCTGGTGGTGCGAAGTAGAGGCCAGACTGAGCAAGCTTGATCTGCGCGGTTAGAAGGGGGGAGGATCATGATCTGATGAGCTTACCTTGAGCTGAGTTGCAAGCTTTGTGACCTCTTCCTTGTTACCGGCGTCGAAGAGCTTTTGGAGCTGAGAGACAGACTGCTGCAAGTCGAGCGACATGGTGGAGATGTTTGGGTGAGGAAAGAGGGAGGAAGATGGAAAGACTAGCTGGCGAGAGGAGGGCCGCTGGAGAGCTGAAGAGGCGATTGTCTATGCTGTTTAAGGGATTTGAGTTGGACGCGCGGGTGTGATGCAGTGGAGGACTGAGAAGGGATGGAAGAGAGTGATGTCTAGAGCTCTAGAGGATGAGAAATGATGATGTCGAGAAAGCAAAGAGTAGTAGTGATGGTTGATCGATTCAACGAGTGGATTGCGTCAGTCCTCGTTGTAGCTGAAGGGGGAGGACGACGCGTGGCCCGAGTGCCACTTTAACAAAACGCCGCCTTATTATTAACTACATGATGGAGGAATTCAATCTCCAGTTCTATTAATCTATCAATTAGGATTGCCCAATATATCATTAGACGCCGGCTGAAGGCGACTGGAGAGCGCATCATCAATCAGCCCTCGCAGCCCTCCTTCCCCCCTTCCCTCGTTCCCTCCTTCTCATCCTCCCCTCGTCAAATCTCATTCTCCATCTCAACTCATCTTCCAACTCTCATCTCTCATCCTCCTCACTTCCTCACCACTCGTCAACTCTTACTCCCCATCTCTCCACCTGACCACCCCCCCCCCCCCCCCCCCCCCCCCCCCCCCCCCCCCCCCCCCAACTCCTCTACACTTTTGCTTCCTGCAACCTCTCCTCTCACCAAAACTCTCCTCGGTCCCTCATCCCCTCATCCCCGGCACTGCCCCATCTACTAAGGTTGCGGCAGCTCGATTATTAGAGTCCTGCCCTCTCAACAACTGCCGTCTGCGCCTTTCTCTCCATCGTTCATCCCTTCAACCACCTCCCCACCTCTACTTTCTTCGCACAGTATGTCTTTTCTCTCTCTCATCTCTTTCGTCTCTCCCTCCTCCCCTCTACACTCCCCTCTTCCTCCTCAGATTTCCATCTGGCCCACCACCGATAAGCCGTCAACTCTTCCCCCCAACCCCACTTACCATCCCCCCCAGTCAACTTGGCATCATGTACTGAACGTCCCAGCTATGTCCGCCCCTGCCGCCGTTAACGGCCATGCATCCACTTCCACCGAGCAGGCCCCTGCCGCTTCCTCTTCCATCCCCGTACCATCTTCGGCCGCTTCTCAGATTCAGCCTAGCGACGTTGGATGGCAGTTTGTCCCCCAGTACTAGTGAGTCGTGGAGGGGCGTTGTGGGCGCGAGGACCCCAACGCAGTCCAAAAAGTAGATTGAGCAAGGGAGGGCCGGCCATCCGATCCAGGCCGACGCAAATTGGGTTGGGAGCGGAGCGAGATGTGCACCAGGGATCGGAGCACGCGAGGCTGCCGCCAAGTCACCGGGGGGCACATGGTCTGAAAACATTCCCTCGGCCTTGGCCTGGAGCGCACAGACCTTCCCGTGGCCCAGCCTCCGAATGCGCTCGCCAGTGAACACAGCTAACGTTTCTCAGCAACTTTGTGAACAAGCAGCCTCACCGCCTTCACTGCTTCTACAACAAGCGGTCCACATTCTTGCATGGCGAGGAGGGCGAGGACACGGCCGTCGCGTTCGGCCAGGCGGTGAGTGGCAGGCCTTGCGAATTTGCAAGAGATAGCAGCTAACATTATTAGGAGATCCATGAGCGTATCACCAAGATTGGGTACGACCAGTGCAAGGTCTACATCAACTCGATCGACTCGCAGTCGTCGGCCAACGGCGGTGTCATTATCCAGGTTCTCGGTGAAATGTCCAACGCGAACAAGCCCTGGCGCAAGTTCGCCCAGACCTTCTTCCTCGCGGAGCAGCCAAACGGCTACTTTGTTTTGAACGACATCTTCCGCTATCTCAAGGAGGAGACCGACGAGGACGAGGAGCCCGAGGTTGACGACGCCCCGGTCGTCAGCTCAGCCCCTGGCACTCAGGCTGATGCCGCCCATGCTCAGCAGGTCCCGACTGCTCCTGTCGCTATCGAGCAGGAGCCTGAGGAGGAGCCGGCGCAGCCGGAGCCTGCCGCTCCGGAGCCCTCCGAGGAGAAGGCTACCGAGCCCGAGGTTGCTGCCCCTGTCGCGAAGGAGGAGGAGAAGCCGGAGGAGAAGGTTGTCGAGCCTACCCCTGCCGCGGCGGAGGAGCCAGCGCCGCCTGCCCCGGAGCCTGTGGCCGAGGAGACCAAGCCTGAGCCTGCCGCCCCGGTTGTTGCTGCCCCCGCCGCAGCCCCTGCCTCTGAGAAGGCCGCTACCCCTGCTAATGGCTCGGCCGCCGCCTCGGGCACCGTTACCCCCGCTGCGCAGCCCCCTGCCGCCGCAGCCGCCCCTGCCCCGGCTGCTCCCGTTGCTCCAGCCAAGCCCGCCGCTCCCAAGTCGTGGGCTAGCCTCGCGGCTGGAGGTGCCAAGGCTTGGTCTGCTGTGACCGCTCCGGCTGCTGCCGCTCCCAAGAAGGCCGAGCCTGTGCCCGCTCCGGCTGCTCCTGCTCCTGCTCCTGCTGCCCCTGCCCCGGCTGTGGCTGCCGCTCCTGCGCCGACCGCGGCGCAGAAGGCGTCTCCTCAGTATGAGCAGGCGATGGCGGTCAAGACCGCTCACTGCTTCGTCAAGCTTCCTAACTGGTCGACTGGCGGTGACGCGGCCGCTGAGACCATCGACGAGGCTACCCTCCGCGGCATCGCCTCGCGCTTCGGTGAGGTCAGCAAGGTTGAGATCGTCAAGGGCAAGGCATGCGCCTTTGTCGAGTTCACCAAGGTTGAATCGGCACGCAAGGCGATTGTTGCGTCGCTTACCCCTAACCAGGGTGGTGAGGGTGGCGTCGTTCACGGCGAGGGCAAGCTCAACTTTGAGACTCGTAAGGAGAAGGACGAGCGCTCCAAGTTCCGTCGGGGAGGTGCGCCTGACACTGGCAACCGCGGCGGTGGCCAGCCGCGCACCAACAACAGCGAGCGTGGTGGCGCTGCTGGACGCGGGGGCCGTGGCCGTCCCCGCGGCGGTGCGTCGGGACAGGCCAAGTGATCCAAGCGGAGTGATCTGCGAGCGGGCTGGGCGACTGTGAGGCGTGCGCGCGCTGCCCGCCCAGTCGGTACTCGCCACGCATCCTTCTCGACCACATCGCATCGCATATTTCTGCCCGTGGTTCATCTTTCCGACATCAGTAGTGTTGCACTTGCATGGGGTGGTCAAGAAGAAGGAGGTGTCGGCGTGGTGTCGGCATCGAGGTGTGCATTGTAGTATGAGATAAGAGCATGTTTATAACTGCGAGTGCGAGAGGATTGAGACAGATTGAGCTCTTTCACAATTGCACAATTGCACAGCCTCACATTCGCGGCCTGCATCAAAAGGCATGCCTGAATCGATCAAAGATTGTTCCCTTGCTCTTCTTCACCTCTTCCTCACTCTCAAAGTCGGACGGGAGAATGCGTGCCTCCGCTCCGCGCGCCTCGGTGATACGCACGGGATTGACCATGGGCGGCTTGAGCCCGCTGGCAATATCCCACTCCTGCTCCTGTGAACTTTCTCCCGTGTCTACAACCTCGAGCGCGAGCCGCATAACCTGGGCCCACGCCGCTGCGCCAAGCGGCATGTCACGGGGCACGACAAGGACGACCTCGCTCCCGACGGATATCGCGACGCGGGCCCACGCCGGCGCGGAGGGGAACGTGAAGTCCCACACGCCGCGGTGTTGGATGTGCGCGGCGCCCATGAGCGGCGCCCACGCGGGCGTCGCGGCCGGCGTCACAGCCAGCGTTTGGCGGAGCATGTCCCCGTCTGGCGGGGGCGGGTCGGAGATGAGCGCGCGCGGCGCGTCGAGGAGACCCACGACGTCGTGGACCAGCGCGGCCAGGGCGTGTCCCCACGCGAGCGCGATGGCGTTCGCCTGCGCCAGCGTCGCGGGCGGCGCGTCCAGCGTGATCGGGAGGGAGGAGTCGAGAGTCGAGGCGGGGAGGGGGAAGAGGTAGCCGACGACGGCGCGGCGGTCGAGCAGCGTCGCGCGCGGGAAGGTCGCGGCGTCGAAAACGGCTTCCCAGGTCATGGTGAGTGGTTACGAGTAGTGTTCACAAGGCGATCAAGGCGAGCAGTGTTGGATCCGAGTCACGAGTCATGCTTGTGACGTCGTTGGAATGGTTATCGTCAAGGCACGGCCCGGCTGATCACTGTTCATATCGCTTCAACAACTATGCATGCAACAACTGTACAACAACCTCCCGCTATGCCGCCGGCATCCCGCCTTCGACCTGGGAGCCGTCGAGCATGGCCTCGATGAACGACACGAGCCCGTTGGGATTGTATCCGATCGTGTTTCCCGCATCGACGCCGATGTCGCCGAAGAGCCCCATGTCGACATTCCCGAAATCGAAGTTGAGCATGCTGAGGGGATCTTCCTGCTCGACGACCTCGACCCCCTCGGAGCGCCGCGACGCCGGGCGCGCAGGAAACAGGCGGCTCAGCAGCGACGCGAGCTGCACCGCAATGTGATCTTCGTCGACAGCCGCGTCGCGCAGCGCCTCGATCAGGTCGTACTGCAGATTCACCATGTCCGACTCGTCCTGCACGACCGCGCCGAAGCTCATCGCTTTGATGAGGAAGACGGAGGCGAACATCTGATGTCAGTCTTGCATGAACAACTTCGGAAACTCGCCATTCGCAAAAAGGTACGGCCGGGACAGAAGCGCAGCACGCCGCGCTGGTGCAGGTCAACGCCGGCACGCATGAGGCTGATCGCGGCTTCGACCGCTTCGAGAAGGAAAGGGGCCTCGGCCCAGCGTAGGATCGAGCTTTCGAAGAAGCGGCGGTGCGTGGCCGTGCTGCGCAGACGCGGGGCGAGGCGGTGGTGCGCCGCCCGCATACTGATCGAGTTGGCGTACAGGCGGATGTAATCTATTTCCAGGCGCATGAGGATATTGCGTAGCTCCGCGGCCTCCGCCTCGGCGTCGTCAGCATCGACGTCGGCGCCGTCCACGCGCGCTGTCGGGATCAGCCACTGCCGGATACTGTCGAGCTCGGGTTTGAGGCGGTGCAAGAGGGGCTCGAACTGGCGCGTCCGTATCAAGTCGTTCGTCAAGCTCGGCGACGCGTACATCAGTTCCTGAACGAGGCCGAGGTTGTGCGTCAGCTCCGTAACGGCCTGGGTCGCCCGCCACGAGTCGTCGCTGAAGTCGCGCAGGATCTCCGAGCCCGTGTGCACGAACACGAGGTCGCCCCATACCTCCCACCAGTTGGTGGACATTTCTTCCGTCAGCGGTGCCGAGACAAGGACGCACTCGCTTGCACGAGGGAAACACGGCCCAGGCGCACAGACACGCTGGCGTCAGCAAAGCGGGGCAGGGCGCATACTGTCGGTCGGCGGCGAGGCAGTCTGGCGTCAGCGGGCCCGGTGCGCCGCGTACTGATCCACGCGTTCATCTTGCGCCGTGTCGTCGCGAGCGCCTCCTCGCTTTCTTTGCTATACCCCTTTTCGTCGTGTAGTGAGATTTCCTGCGCGATGCGCAGCGCGAGGCCCGTAAGCGTCCACGCCAAATCGTCGAAGAGCTTGCACGCGCTCGAGAGGGTAGATGCACGCGCCCGAGATGGGTCTTTGAGGAGAAGCGCGCGCGGCGGCCACTCGGAGAGCACGAGGAGCGCCTCGACCGTCCCGATGGTTCGGAAAGTCGGGCTGGTGTCAGTGTTTGTCCCCGGTTCATGTGACGAGGCACACTCACTCCCCCATGGTGAGGTAGCCGAGGCGGGTTAGGAGCCAGTCGACGAGGCGGCCTTGGATCACGCGTGAGCGCAGCGGCTCCGTCGAGACGTACGACGGACCGAGATCGCAGAAGCGGCTGGCGGCCAGACAGATGGTCGCGAGAAGGATGGGCTCGTCGAGCAGATCAGTGAATTGCTTCGTCAGAAACAAGCTTGAGGGCACGACCGGGTGGAGCGGGCCAAGATGTGCTGCATAGCTGCGGAGCGTGAGCGGGAGCTTGTACGGATACCCACAAGCCTAGGAGGGTGCGCGCTTCGCCAGTCGTCAAAAGGCCGTCCCGCACCGGCTCCCACTGGTTCCAGATCTTGCCGTCGCGGTGTGCTGGCGCAGCTGTCGCCTGCGTCGCCTCCTCGTCTGCGGCCGCGACAAGGATGCGCAGGGCGTCCGCTGGCGTCTCAATCGTCGCCTCGAGATTTATGCCGGACCTATACGGACTGCGTGCGGGGCGCGACGGCTCCGAGCTCCCGGTACGGTGCTCGAACACCTCGGGGCTCGTCGACAGTGCCGGCTTCAGCGGGAAGCTCTGCCGGCGTGCGTGCGGCGCGGGCACGGCGTGCGCCTTCGCCTGCGCCTGTGAGAGCGCAGGAAGGGCGTCATGGCCGTGCGACGATCCCTCGCGTTTGCGGTACGTCATCTTGCGCGGTTTGTGGTGCAGGTGGCTGCCGACAAAGCGGCATTCGCGGCCTGAGCGGGCACAGCGCTCGCACGGCGGATCCTTCGGCTCGCCGGGGTCGCCGAGGTCGCAGCGGAGCTTGGCGTCGCGGCACTCCTGGCATGCCTGGCGGACGCGGCCGCGGCCTGGACGTGCGCGCTTCGCGGGGGGCTCGTCGCCCTCGCTCGGCATGGTGTCGATATCGAAAGTCGGGATTGTATCGAGCACAAGCTGGCTGAGCTGGGGAGAATGGGTGGCGGAATTGCTGGCCCCCGCCAGGGCGAAGTGGGCATCGGTTCGGGATTCTCGATAAGCCATCACCTGACGACTGGCGGAGCGGACGGCTTCGGCTTTGCGCGGGCGGCCCGTGGCGGAATTGGCAGGCAACTGGCTATAGTGCTGCGCTGGGCCTCGGATGATGGGGCGAGATGGGTGGGCGTCCTCGTCGCTGCGAGAATCGTACTTATGGAGCAGAATCCAGGCGCCGCCCGATAACGGAAAGTATCTCGGCGTCCCCGGTGCCGAGATCCCCTACGCCACTCCCACGCCCAGCGCCCATTTATCCACGGATGACAAGTGCGCGGGCGAGACGAGTCGAGGTGGGCTCTCGCGATATTCTCGTAGACGGTCGCGTTGCGTTGGAGGGCGGTACATGTGCCGTCTCGCATGTGTCGCATCTAGGCCTTGAGCGAGCCAGGTGAGCTCAAACTGCGAAGGTCCTTGCCAGTTTAGCAATTCCATCTCTACCAGCGCAGACCGCCCCATCCACCCCCATTATGCCCAAAAAACCCTGCATGCAATTGAATGTTCTGCTATCTGCTGCCACTCCTATCACTACTCTGCGTACAACCAATCTAAGTCTAGTAAATGTAGTGCGTCTGAGGCCTGTAGAAGCCGCGCATGGCAAGGTGCACCCCCGCGCCATCGATGTACGGTGCACACCCGTTGCCGAGCCAGCTCATCGAGTGCTCATGCTCCTTGATGGTCTCCCACTCAAAGTCCTCCCATCGCGGGTGCTGCAGAGCCATGAAAGCGTGGGACCCGCTACCGGGCCAGATGGCGCGGATCGTCGCCTCACCCGTCTCCCCGTTCTTGTACCAACTCCGGCAGCTCGACGTGAGCACCGTCCGGCCAAAGTACGCATCCGTGTACTTGAGGAAGTCGTCGACGGCCTTTCTCCGCGGAGCGAACGACCGGTACCCATCCCGCTGGCATTTGCCGATCATCTTGGTAATGTACGCGCACTGCTGCTCGAGGACGACGAGTAGGGAGCCTGAGCCTGCAGCCGCCTGCGTCGTGAGGACGTTGAATGCGTTGGGCATCTCTGGTGCGAACATGCCCAGGTAGGTGCGGCTCTCCTTGGCCCACAGCTCCTGGATGTTGATGCCGCCGCGGCCGATGATCGGGAAAGCCGGGATAAATGTCACGTCGAAGCCCGTCGCGCACACAATGATGTCGAGCTCATGCTCGGTGCCGTCTGCCGTCCGGATGCCACGCGGCGTGAAGCTCTCAATCTTGTCCGTTACCAGCCCACAATTGTCTTCGCACAGCGCCTCGAGGTATCCAGGGCCGGGTGACAGACGCTTGCATCCGACGGGGAAGTCGGGGAGGATGGCGGCGGCGATCTCGGGCTTGCGTGCAAGCTTGTCCCGCATTGTCTCGGTGAACTTGTCCGCAAATACGGCCTGCAGTGGATGCCCTCGGAACGACAGCTCGTGCGTCGATCCTAGGTCCTCCTCGATCTCACACCGGAACTTGCGATACGCCTCCTCGCTCTTGAACGCCGCAATGTCCTCGTCCGTGAAGAAATAGTTGGTGCCGCGATCCTTCTTGTACTTGTGGAGCTTTTCGAACATCTTGGAGCCCCAGCCGCCCGAAATCCACAGCTTACTACGACCAAAGTTGGTGACGCTCAAAGCCTTTTTCTGGAGGGTCGGCACAATCTGTACGCCGCTGGCACCCATGCCGATGACGCCGACACGCTTGTCGGCCCAGAACGCAGGGTCTTCGGGAAGCTTGGCCGCCTTCCAGTCGCCCGAGTGAACCATTGTGCCCTTGAAAGACGCGCGGCCGGGGATGTTATCGGGCCAAATGGGCTTAGAGAGCAGGCCCGTGGCGAAGAGCACGAAGTCGCACTCGTCCTCGTGGCTCTCACCCGCTGCGTTTGTTACAGTCACGAACCACTTGCCCCTCTCCTCGTCCCACCGTGTGTGCGTGACCGTGTGCTGCAGCTTGATGTACTGGCGCAGGTTGTAGCGCTCGGCCACGGTGCTGAGGTACCCGTGGATCTCGGAGCCGGGGGCGTAGTACGCCGACCAGTCCGTCTTCTCGCAGAAGCTCAGCTGGTACGAGTGAGAAGGCACGTCGCACGCGACACCGGGGTATCGGTTCTGGTTCCATACCCCGCCGACATCGTCGCCCCGCTCGTAGATCTGCAGCTCAAAGTTGGTGAGGTGGTCCTTGAAGTGCACGGCGGCGCAGAGGCCGCTGAAGCCCGCGCCAACGCATACAATGCGCACAGGCCGCCCCTCGTTGATGTTGCGTTCGTACAGTGGAGGCGCCCACGAGAAGTCCAAGTGGTCACTGTGGTCAGTACCGCCGAGATAAGGCACGGGCACGCACGGCTGCTGGTATGCGCCGTTGGCGTCTGTGATCGAGACCTGCTGGGCCGCGGCCATGATGTTGTGTGTGATGTCGATGTCTGAGAGGTCGCCCATGATGCTGGGTGTTATATCAGCATCTCAGCTGCTCTTGTATCTCTCGACTTGGGCGTTGCTTCCCACTCCCGGGCCTCGAGTCGGCATAGCTTGTCCTCTGCCACAATTCCGATCACAATGCCGACTCCGTACATGACCGATACCACAGGTCAGATAGCACGGCCTTGTCCGACTTGGCTCCGCACCTCCGTATCTGTGCCCACTCCAGTCCACAATTGAGCCGTGAGCCCTGCACCATGCTCTGGACGGGAAGATATGGACGATAGTGTGCGGGGCCTCCGTTGACGAGTCGAGCTTGCTGCGGTGACGTGCCGTCCCGGCGTTCTCCGCGACTAATGCATAACCGTGACGCACCTCTTAAGCAGTCCACATAAGCCGTGGCATCCACGGCAGTTGTCGAACCCATCACTACCGCATCAACATCACAATCTGACTAGCAATGGTGAAGAACGAGTCACACTTCCACATGGCCATGGAGGTCGAGGACACCAAGACGCCTTGGGCCGACGTCACGGATAAGTGAGCTTATCCGCCGCCCCACCCTCCGCTGACTCCAGGATTCTGAGCTACGAGTGGGCGCCAGCGAGAGCGTCACTGACCCCAGCCCCGACACGAAGAACGTCACTAAGCTGCAGGTGTACGCGCCCGGGTGGAAGCAGGGCCATGGCACATACACGCACCCGTACTGGTGGGTGCTCCTTCGACCCGGCACGAGGCTGACGGCAGGGAGGAGATTTTTGTTGTGTCGGGCAAGGTGTACGACCACACCATCAAGCGCTGGGTGTATCCGGGCGAGTACGCTTGCCGTCCGCCCGGGCAGAAGCACGGGCCGTTTGAATGCGCGCCCGACGAGGGGGCGGTCGTGCTCCTTATCAACACACCGAGCTGGCCGAAGGAGTAGGGTTGTGACATGTACGTTTGATTGTATGCAAGAATCGATGTCTAGCTTGGCAGCACGTGTGGGAGTGCATGGCGCTGTGGTTTCTCCATGCCCACATCTCACCTGTTCATCTGTTTGTGGTCGTTATTAGCGTGGGAGGTAGCACGCGCTGTCGCTCGGATTGTTGCGGAATACCTCGGCACGATCGGCAACCTACGGAAATGATAACTGGACCGAGTGATACCTCGTCTGCCGGCCCACTGTGGAGGAGAATACCCGCTAACAACTGGAGACGCATATGTGTAGAAGGACAGAGAGGCTAATTGTGCAAAACTCTAGAGACTGGGGTATGCACAGGCATCAGCGACACGATGAGTTTGACGTCGGAGTCGGCTACATACGCTTGGGGCGGATGGCATGGGCGAATTACATAATTCGATACGGTAAGTGGCTTAAGCAGTGAGGTTCCGAAGTGGCCGGACTCAGACAGCTGATCAGGCTGTAAGAACAAATCTCCTTCACTTGCAACTGCATCTGATGGAGCAGCGGGGTCGGGCGGGGCGTGCGCTGCAGAAGCTGCCGCGAAATGGCTGATCTCTCTGCGATACCAATTGCACTGAGAATCACCGGCCATGCTCTCCACACATGGTCACCCCAGGACTAACTGAGGTTTGCGCCAGCTTGTTTTACTGTACATCATGCTGACCTTTGGGAGAGGAGAGCTTAGGTGCAATCCACCGAGAGATGTCCCACCGGCATTTGTCGGCAAACTACGTGAAGCCTCGGTTGATGGAATCGATACTGTCACCTTGCTTCCCGTGACCCCGCCAGCTCCGTCTGCTCCGCTCTCCCTCACCATTCGCCCATGGGGTCCCTCCGGGGGCTCCGCCGCCCATGTTGTGCCGTTCACAAGCCCAGGCTCCAGGTCACATGACGACGCCGGTCTGCCACCGCCCCAGCGGAGCTGCCGGAACGATGGGGAGCTATCCGCGGTTCCTTACAATGCCGAGCGATACGATTATCCGACTTTGTTCTCATTCTCCTATCGCTATCACGGGAGCTTCGGGCGGGGCCACATCACGCGTAGATCGTAAGATGTTAAAACGACACTTGGACTGCGATGGGGGCACCACGGCCAATCAAGCAACCATGGCACGCTCCACCAAATCACTCGATGTTGACGCGGAAAAGGGCGAGTCGCAGCACGTCGAAATCGTGCCCGTCGAGGACGGCGCCGGGGGCCGTATCCAGGACGCCGTCTTCGGCGAGCTCAGTGAGAACGGGCCAAACTACCGCAACGTGAGTCTTGCAGCCGGCGCCACTGATGCCAGGTCGGATGGGTTGGGACACTGGTCCTCATGCTCAAGGCGACAATCGGGCTCGGCGTGCTCGCGATTCCATACAGCTTCCAGACTGTCGGCCTAATCCCGGGCATCATCCTTCTCACTTTCGTTATCGTGATCGTCACCTGGAGTGATGTGGTTGTCGGTGCGTAGTCCCGTGCCACCCGCTGCGTGACTGACGCCAGGGACGTTTAAGCAGAACCACCCCGATGTATACTCGATCCCCGACATCGGGCGCGTGCTGTTCGGCCGCGCAGGCGAGTGGTTCTTCACGGCCGCCTATGTCATCTGTGAGTTGCGGGTGGTGCTGTTGCTCACCGTAGACATGATCTTCTCCGTCTCCGGCGGCATGGTGGCAGTATCGACCGCGCTGAACGCCGTCACAGTGCACGCGGCATGCACGGCCATTTTTGTCGTTGTGTCGGCCGTCATCGCGGTCATGTTTGCCAGCATCCAGACCCTGGGCCGCATCCAGTTCCTCGGCTGGTTCGGCATCATCTCCATTCTCGCAGGCAGTGAGCTGCCGCCCGATCTGCGCTTACCCAGTCATGATCGTCACTGTCGCAGTCGGGATCCAGGACCGGCCGGCCGAGGCACCCCAAGTCGGACCATGGGACAAGGACCTCAAGCTCTTCGCGTCGCCGACATTCGCGCAGGCCATGTCCACCGTCGCCGGCTTCGTCTACGCCACATGCAACCCGCCAACTTTCATCGGCTTCGTGTCCGAGATGCGCGACTTCCGCCAGTACAAGAAGTCGATGTACTGCTGCCAAATCTTCGTCTGGGCCTTCTACATCACCATTGGCACTGTGAGTCAACACACGCGCCAGTTGACAGACAGGTCATGTACTTTTACTGTGGGCAGTACGTGGCATTCCCGGCGCTGGGAAGTGCGGGAGTAGTAGTCAAACGCGTCGCATACGGCATCGCCCTCCCCGGCCTCCTTGTCACGCTCATCATCTACACACACGTGAGTGCCTCGCATCTGAGGATGCTGACCCCAGCTTCCGGCCAAGTTTATCTTCGTCAAGCTCCTGCGCGGCTCGCGCCACCTGAACACAAACACGCCGACCCACTGGGTCGTGTGGCTCGCATGCACACTTTCCACAACAGTCATCGCATACATCATGGGCAGCGCGATCCCAATTTTCTCGAGCTTCGTCGGCCTCGTCGGAGCCACATTCGCGCCCTTCATGTGCATGATTCCCATGGGCTTCATGTGGCTCAAGGACAATTACTGGGCGTCCGGCGCGCAGCGCACCACCCGCGTCAAGCTTCAGGCCGCTTGGGCTGCACTCGTCACCCTCATGGGCATATTCCTCGTCGTAGGCGGTACGTACGCTGCCATCCTCGATATCCGGGCATCGACGTCGAAGGTCAAGCCATGGTCGTGCACGGACAACTCGAATTCGGTGCCGACGGCGTGAGCGGGCGAGAAAGTGGCGCGGAGGTGCGTAAAGAGGAATTCAGAAGCAATGGTTGTCAGTAAACTTTGTAGCGAGGTAGCAGCACAATGCCAGTATTATAGCGTCGAAGTGGTGAGTGAGTGACAGTTGACAAACCTGCTGGTTTCACGGTGGCTTTGCTCCTTCCGTGACACTACCGCTCGACTGTGCCTCGTCGTACTCTGTCATCCCCTGGTTTATGCAACACATATACTGTCGGTGTCAACAATCAATACATGTAGCTACACTGTATCCCATCTAAGCCCGTGTCATCAGAAGCAGAAGCTGCCGCTGTGGAAGTTTATTTCCGCGCCCGCCTCAGGCATCACAGTGTTCACGCCGCACCGCGCATCAAGGGTGAGTGTAGGCGGGCCGCACACGATGACGCCCAGCCGCCCCCCGCCCTGTATCTCGCTCACCTCAGCCCGGATCATCTCCGTCACGAGACTCCGCCCGAAGTGGACATGGGCGTATGCCGCGGCGGCTGGCCCGAGGCCGGAGCGGAAGAGCTCGTCCTCGGAGAGCCGGGGCTCGTCGCCGTCGCTGGAGACGGAGGCGCGCGAGCTGCCGTAGCTGCTCTGGCTGCCGCCGCGGAGGTGGCGGAGGTGCTCGAGCAGCGGCGACGCCTCGCCGGGCTTGGCTTCGAACGGGAGCGTCGAGTCGAAGCCGACGTTGGGGTCCGTGGGCTCGTCGGACGCGTGCGAGCGCGTGACGTGGATGTCGATGCGGATGCGCACGTCCGGGTTCGCGATGTTCTCCAGCGCGGTCTCGAGCAGCGGGGCAATGGTGCGCACGTGCGCCAGTTTGCGCGTGTTCCACGCCAAGCGGAGGGACGTGGGCGCCCGCCCCCGGTCGGCTTGCGCGAGCGCGTCGAGGAAGTGCGAGAGACACAGCGTTATCCCCGAGCCACCGGCGATGCACAGCAGCGAGTCGTAGTGCCGCACATCGACGGGTTCGCCGTACGGCCCCTCGACGGTGGCGGGGAACTGCGAGATCGTCGAGTCAAGCGCGTTGCGCAGCTGGTGCGTGAAGCCGCCGTGCACGCGCATGAGGAAGACGGCGGGCGACGGCCCCGGCGTAGGTGAGGGGATGTTGGCGAACGTGAACGGATGTTGTTCCCAGGGAATGGTGGAGACGCCCGGAACGCTGAGGTATGCATGCGTGCCAGCCTTCCATTTAAATGGGACGGGAACGGAGACGCGCAGGACATCGGCGTCGAGAAGCTCGACGGTGGCGGTGGGTGACCCACGGCTGCGGACATATACGTACAGCATGCGGGCGAGGCCGACTGCGCGGTCCAAAGACCAGAGGAGGAGGGCGGGCTGATGTCAGCTGAAAATGCCCTCGAATTCTCGTCGATAAAGAAAACAACAAAAACTCACCCATACCCAGACTCGGTACTCTGGCGTGTGGAAGTAGGTCATGATAAGGAACATGAGGGCGGCGATGATGTGCACGTCGCGGAAAAGCTGGTGGTACCGGTTGCGGATAATTCTGAAGGAGAACAAGGTGAGCGCAGTCAGGCCTGCCATGGCCGGAATGGCGGTGTAAATTCGCCACGTCCACGCATGTCTTCCGAGACCTCTGTCAAGCCACCATCCGAAGGTATGTGCGAGTGCGCCGAAGAAGCAGACCCGGCCCGAGGTGCGGTGGAGATAGTTGATATGGTCGTACGAGGCGCCTGTGAGCATGGAGAGGACGTTGTTGCGGCCGACAAGCCCGACGATGAGTGGGAGCTGCGCAACCGCCACCATGCCCGTGGGATTGGCGTAGTCGAGCACGCCGGCGAAGTAGGAGCCAAAGATGGACAGCGCAAACGTCCCCGCCGTGTATGCTGTGACGAGGAAGAGCTCGCTCGCGGTCACGGCGGGGAAGTAGGGAAGGCCGAGGGGGCGGAGCGTGAGTAATGTCCAAGTGCGCGACGTTTTGGTCGGATGGCGGAGAAAGCGGCGACGGAGTGCGCAGATGCCGCGCAGGATGATTCAGGCCGCGACTACCGCGCCGGCCATGTACCAGTAGTAGCGCATGGCAGCGTGGCGGCGAGCTTTGCGTATGCGCTTCCATTCCGGCGGCGGGCGAGGCCGGTCGGGCGGCGGGGACGGAATGGTGTCCTCGAGTAGAGGGACAACGACGCTGAGCAGCCTTGGGTGAGCTTCGGAGGACTGGGACCTACGGTTGAATCATGGTGCAGAGGAGGTCGTGATGGTCGTCAAGTGGGAGGGATGCGATTGCTGAGCCAGCATCAAGATGGGCGAGGAGGATGGACAGGAGGAGTCATCTGGCGGCCTGTACTGGCGGGGGGGGGGGAGGGTGCCGAGGACAGCTAGCGTCGGGTGTTGCTGACAGCGCGCTGAGAACGCTTGAAAGCTTGGAAGCTTGGGAGTTCGCCACGAGTGTTTGGGTCGGCCGATGGATGTGTCAAGAGCGTGACGGCGCGATTGAAAGGCTTGAGACGCGAGGTGATGGCTCCATCACCCCATCGGCCGAACAAGGCACGGCTTTCCCGAAGGGTCCCACCCCACGCAACACGTCTCCTTCCGATCCCTCCCTTATCTGATAAAATCGGCCATTGACCGGCGACAACGGATGTGGCACTTGCACGACTGGCCTGCATTGATCTCAGCTCGTGATGGTAATCCACTGCGACGTCTGATCCTGGCTCCATATTAGCGATGTCGGTTCATAAACATGTCTAGTCGCCACTGCTTCCGAACTTCCGGAGGGGGGACGTGGTCATGATTGTCAGAAAGAATATAGGGAACCACTGCGTGTATGCTGCCGGCGCATTAAGACACGCCGGTACGCTAGAGCATGCGTATATGCATCACGAGTGTTTCCTCGAATAACATTTTGAGCAAATTGGACCGCGACCTCCTTTCGTTTTTTGAGCAGTTGAAATGCTGGCACGAGCCTCCCCGGTTCACAGACTCACCTTCAGAGTGCGAGTCTTGGCGTATAGATTTGCGGACATAGAACTTGCGTCCCCCTGCAAGCGCGAGAACGGTGGGCCGAGCGGTTAAGCGTTGATCGGCCGAGAGATTGTCGCTCTGTGGGCCGACCCGTGTCGAAGTCGAGGTTGAATGGACAGCGACGGACATCTCAGAATCTCCAACAAGCGCTGTAGGACATTCCTAACATCTCCGCGGTCACTTGCTCACGTGGTCACTCTCTGGGTCCCCGATCTCGGATTGCCTTTTACCTCTATATTCTGAAAGATGGCTGTGCGTTGTGACCACTTATACCGACACTCGGTATCATCACCGTAACCTCAACATATGAGCCTTCACCCCAGCATATACATATGTCTCATCTAGTCACGTCCACTTTTCTCCTGCCCGTGCTGAGAGATACGCTTGTGTCCTCGCCCTTAGATGCCCAGCACGGACAACTTCTCTCCCGACTCTCTGTCTGCGTGTTGTATGCCAGCCGCCTGCACGTGCACTTCGCCCCTGTGGGATGACTCATGCTTCATATTCGTAAACACATTTCTCCTTGGGCACTTGTCCACTGGTCTTCGTGAGCCCGCATAGCAATAACTCGCATGCTCGAGTGCTCTCAAGCCGCGGTACACCCCGCTAATTCAACTCGTGAGAGTGCTGTTAAGACGGAATGGACTCGGGTTCTGGGTTTCTGATGCGCAAGGTCAGCACAGCTTGTGCGGGTCTTCGCGGAACACTGCCTGTACTGTCTAGCAGCTGAGGGACATGCAAGCGACGGCCTTGGTGGTCGCAAAGCGGGAGCTGGAAGAGCGGAAGGAAGTTCTCTGGCGGCCGGAGACAATCCACACACACTTGCAGCAAGACCCGACGCTGCGGCGTTGGTCGCCTTCAGCACTGTATTGTTCCGGTTCAGAGCCAGCGGACTCCGCAACATCTGCTGTGCATCTTGTCATTTCGTCTTCATGAGACAGTGGGCCCACCTGAGAACACCACCTCGATTTAGGTGATACGACGCTAGTCACTGCGCGTGCAAACGTCGGCTGTGCTAACCGTTGGCGACCAAGCAGCCGTCTCTAACAGCTCAATGGCCATCGAGATCTCCTATCTTGGCCCAAGTGTCTGATGATATGACATGTTCACAGGTTGACACATGTAGATGCACGAGATGGTTGAGACGGCCCTATATGCCTTGGTGTTGTTGTTTCGGACATGGCCGACTCTCACCATGCGCGGCCGCGGAATGCTCTCCGGGTACCGGCTTTCGGAGAGTAACCGCTGTCATCCCCCACCCACCTGCCTGATCTCGTGCACTCTCATATACATGCACGCAGCGACTGGTCTGATCGTCTATACGCGCTATACGTCTAGTAGCTCATCCATCATCCACGATCCACGATGCTTTCAGCTACTCTCCGCCCCACGCTTGCCGCTTCCCGCCTGAACGCCGCCCGCGGCATGGCCGGTGCGGCAAAGTTCACCGCTTACGACTGGCAGGACCCGCTCAAGATGCAGAACCTCCTGACGGACGAGGAGCGGGCGATCCATGAGACGGCACGGAACTATGCCCAGGAGAAGCTTGCGCCCCGTGTGCTCAAGGGGTGGCGGACGGTGGGTTCGCGTTCTCCGCAGTACCGTGCGAGTTCCGCAGTCGCTGACGGCGCAGGAGCAGATCGACAAGGACATCCTCAAGGAGATGGGCGCGCTCGGCCTCCTCGGCCCCACGATCAAGGGGTACGGCTGCGCAGGCACAAACTACGTGTCGTACGGCTTGATCATGCGTGAGATCGAGAAGTGAGTGCATCGGACAACCGCGGCGACCGCGGCGACTGCGGCGATCGGGCGATCGGGGCGAGCGGGGCGGAGGCGTTGATGTGCGTGGCGTGGGAAAGGGGCATGGGAAGGGCGTGTGCGAGAAGGGGGGG